TTAAACAAAATAAAAATAAGATGAAATAATATAATTAAAAAAGTATGTTGCTAATACTGTTTCTAGCCTACAAAAAATGTATCATATTGAAACTTGAAACATATTTTTAACAGTTTTCTCAATTTTTATAGAGCAATAAACATTAATACATATCATAACTTTTTTAAAACTTTATAAGTTCTCATTATTTTTAAAATACATTTGCTTTTCAAGGAGAGAAAAGGAAACCAAGATTTTTATGAGGTTTAAAGATATTGATTGTACTTTCAGCTAATCAAAACTGAAGAGTTCTAATTTTTTGTGACTTTCAGAAAAGTAAAGTGGAATATTTATTAATAACAAGAACCCTTGCGTAAATATATACCGTTATAATTTATAATTTATTTGTTTTTTTAATTATAGTTATGAGCTACCTATATGCCACAAGATTTTCGAGATACATTAATTAGACAATAAAGAGAACGTCCTAAAAGAAATAAAGAATTGGAAGTTGATGTTCTAATAAACTCCCGGGAAAACTAAAACTCTTGAAGCATATCTTCTTACTATTATCCTCTTTCGATAACAGGTATGTCAAAAATACCTGGTTGTTGATAAACGGCTCCTATGACAATCATATAATACGTGTTTCATATTTAGAGAACCCGGTTGTGTTTTAAAAACCGAGTCACAAAACCCTACAGCTAAAAGCCCCGGTTGTTTCAAGAGAAACCGAGTTCTTTAAGTATACTATACAACCCGGTTATTTGCTTGAAGTCGGCTCATATGGTACCCTCCTTTATCAAACCTTGTTTTTACATAGTATAACGTGGTTTTTTCATAAACCTGGTCCTATTAAGCGATTCTTATGTATTTTTTCGTAGTAGTGTTATCATTTTATTTATATTTATTTCAAAATTTTACTTTAAAAAATATTTAATGTTTACATCTTTTATTTAATTTTTTTAATCAACTCGTGTAGTACACGAGTCTCACACATAGTACTTAATAAACTAACTTATAAAATGATGTCATTGTGGGTATTGCGGGGTTTTTTAAATATATAGAAACTAATTGTAAGACTCATGTATTACATGGGTTTATTCAAAAAAATAAACAAACATAAAGATCTAACAATTTAGAAAATTTCAATTTATAAGAAAAAAATAAATATTTAATTATTAAAATTGAAGTGCTTATTTATGTTTTAAGTTTTAACTAATAATTTAAATAAATAAACAACTAAAACAATTGAAATTTAGAAACTTAGAAATTACAAGGAAAATTGCATTAATGAATTGGATATAAATTAATTATTACATTTAAGTATTAATAAAATGAAAAAACCCATAAAATGTCACATGGATATAATTTAATATAAATTTACCACAAAATGACATATGCATAATGCATAAGAGGATAACAAGTAACAAAATTATTTTTATTTATTAGGAAGGAAATGAAACTTGACTTAAAATTTCATTTATTCTCAAATATATGAATCAAATTGTTAGTAGTTTTGAATTTTTTTGAAGTTTTTGTTCAGTTTCAGTTTTTCTTTCACACCCTGGATAACATGGCAAAAAACAATCTCAAATAATACTATCTATACATACTTAAATGAGTAGACAATAATATTGATTTGTTATTGTTGCTAAAGTAAATCGTTTTTTGATCTAGCATAGTTTGCATGAGTTTGTTTTTAAACCTTAAAAAATAAAATTATAGATATTACACATTTACATAACTTGATCATGTAAAAAAAAAATACGAACCAAATTAAATAGAATAATAGAATAAGAAAGGCCATGTCTGGACCAATATAACGTTAAACTTGTCGACCCATTTCAGCCCAATCATTAACATATATAATATTATATATTATACTATTATACTATTATACTCTTATAGTAATGTATTTTGACATTCTTTTTTATCATGCATTTAATAAACTTTGACAATGTTAAGTTACCGTTTGAAAAAAAAAAAAAAAAAAAAAAGGTGATTCATTTTACTATAAAATTTTGGGTTTATGGTTTACTTTAAATTGTCACTAGCCTTGTATTAAACTTTCAAGCAAAATTGAAATGGAAAATATACTTTTAAATTTCAAGAATCGTTTAAGTTTAGCAAAAACTATTGTAGATTCTGAACTAGATCATATTTCTTGACTTCCTACATTATTTTTGTTTTAGAACTGAAGTAACGATTTGTAGTGCATATATAGTTAATAAAAAATGTAACCATGAGTTAAATGTTTAAATTAAAGAAAGTAAAAACATCTTGTGAAGTGTCATTAAAGGTTATAAACATTTATGCCATTTGCCTATGGGTAAATATTTTGCTTTGATCTATCTAAAGCATTATCAAGAAAAAAAAATATTGCATTTATCTTTTGATATCAAAATAAAAATATGCAATTGTATTTATTTAAAGCAAACATTTGACATCGAACTTTTCTTTTTCGATATTGTCCGAATAATGGAACCATCCATTGATGTGTCGGTTTTTCTTATATGGCAAATAACATGACATTAGGTGGTGGCATGTCAGTATCTAAAAATATATGGTTAATTAAAAGAAAGACCCAATGTTTTGGCCATTTTCCATAAGATAACAACTTTTTTTTACAATTTAAACCAAAAAAATGATAAAAGTTTTGATTTTCGACGCTTTTTAATAGGTTACATGTTACCGTCCATTGAAGTCTCATGAAAGTTACCTCATATTGTATCTTAATTACCCGGCCATTAATACTTAATTAGAACCGATATTTGGTTAAGATTTCCTATTTTATAGATATAATGTCAAAATCTTTGAATATAAAGTTTAATAATCATGCACCCAACATCCCAGTATATATATATATATATATATATACACACACACACACATTACGATGTCCGTTTAAGCCCCCACTAATCTAAAATTTAAGCTCCGCCCCTGACTAACGGTAAATATGGTGAGTTTTACATCATTCTCAACCACCACCCCACGTCATTATGTTCATCTTATTTTTAATTATTTAAATTAAAAATATTTTTTTTAATTATTTAAAATATATATAGAGAGAGAGAGATAGAGAGAGAGAAAGAAACTAATTGGATCTTAGATTAGTCTTCCCCACCACAAATAACCACGACGACTACCGACCACTAACGATCGGGATGGTGTTCATAAATAGTGATTGTTGCCAAGTGGACCATGGAGGTATCCTTGATATGCATTGCAGATAAATTATGTGTGAAAGTTTGGTACACGTCAAATTGGTACAACCATGTCAAAATAATGTGAGCTTGCCTTATAAGTTATAATAATGATTATTTTAGGATAGAGTTACACCATATTATTATGTGCAACCATGTTAGAATATTGTGAGAAAACCTTATAATGAGATATTATTTTAGGATGGACACTATGGTAGCCAGGGCCGGCTCTATATGTAGATGAACAAAGTTAGGGCTTAGGGCCCCCACTTCTTGAGGGCCCCACTTAACCCAAATACCTAATACAGTCCAATGTCCAAATACAGTCAGTATTAGCTGAATCGCTGACTTGCTATACAAACACCTCAAAATTTTCAAACGCCTCAAAACTTTTATTCATCAGTTCTTCTTCTACAAGCGACAATCACACTTCTCTTCTTCTTCTTCTTCTTCTTCTTAGGGGTGGCTCAAAAATCGGACTCTGAACTGAAATACACGCATCACCTTTTGTTCTTCCTCTTGCTTCTCTATTCATGGCTTCTCTATTCTCAGACTCTCAACTCTGATTAACTGATAACTGACTCCATTGTTCAAAAAATCTGATGAATAATGATTCAAATCTGTCACTGAAAACGGTATGTGTAATTTTTTCACATTTCAATTTCATTTTTGCATTATCTGTCATCTGAATCTTAGAATATGATTATCTAATTAGGGTGTCACTGTCATACTGTGTTGTTGAAATTGTTTCTGGAATCAGGCATACTTATAATCTGATATATCAAAACTAATTATCTAATTATGGTTAATAGTTAAAGCTGATTAGGGTTAATGTTTTGCAGTTTTTATATTTTTGAGTTATATGATTCTTGATTCTATTCTTTATTGATTACGACAGATTACAAAATAAATGAATTAGGTTTGAACGAATTTCAGAGTTTGAGTTTTAGACTACAGTTTTCCAGATTTGAGCTTTCCATTATCTTCTAAACCTCTATTATCAAATCTCAAGGTGGCAGGTATAATCCTAAATTCCTAATTGTCTAATCCATATTTTCTATACTTGTAGTAGTTTTATTGGTGATTGTTCATTGTTATTATTAATCAAATAATTAATAATATTGTCAAAGGGCCCCAACTTTTTGGTTCGCTTAGAGCACCCAAACTGGTTGAGCCGGCCCTGATGGTAGCATATTACGAGCAACCATATCAACCACCCACAAAACCAAGACGTCATCACATGTAAAATATTTGAAAACGGCCAAAATGAAAAAGTTCACCAATCTTTATTTTTAAAATATTAAAAAATGTTAGCTATTATTCGAAAATGATCAAAATATTGGGTCTTTCATACAATTAACCTAACACGTTAATGTGACAACACATGACAACTAACATGATACCATAACAACCGTCACATAATCAAAACTTGCATGTCAAAAAATGGTATATAACTTATAACCAACAAAAAAGGGTTAAAACGAAAATGTTAACCGCTATTTTAGTTTAAATCGTAAAAGAAATTGCCAAAATATTTTTATCTACTATCCAAATAAAACTTTAATGGAAAATATATGTGATAACGTCATTGTAGCACAATGAAGTTATGAGTTTTGTCCGATTTGATCATTTATGTTTTTTCTTATGCAGTAGGTCATCTAAGTTTTACTCTACATGTCAATTAAGTCATTATTGTTAGTTTTTAACCATTCATCCGTTAACCAGTTATTCTAAATTACATGAATGGCCCCTACGGTTAAAATTTTATTCGTAATTGGTCCTTTACCAGCTATGGTTTAAATTACATGATCAAAACTGTCACATTTCTAAAACTCGTGGGGACCAAAGTGTAAATTTCTTATCTTCTCCCTATTAAATCGATTTCCGATTGTCCGAATCAATTTCCGTTTTCTTGATATGCGTTTGAAACCAAAACCCCCATGGGAATAGCTTCGTTGGAACTAGGTTTTGTGTTACGAGCTTCTCCATTTCTCTCCAAACACCTTCAATGTCGAAGTTCAAGACATCTCCTACCTTAGGAGGCCTACTGCTCCTTCTTTAAGACGAAATGGCCAATGGATCTATAAATCAGTGTTATTAAAATTTCTTGGAATAGAATTGGAATTTGAGAACCATAATGAAATTTACCAGATAAAGATCAAGGTAGCCGAGTTGAAGCTCTTGAAGTGTGTTCAACAATGCAAGACAAACCCTCTCTAGAGACAAATCATGGCACTTGTATGAGAATGTATATATGTTAAAGGAAACTCTATATTCCTTTCAACTTATCATCAAATTTACTAAAAGTTCATGGTGTACCATAGCTTGGATGTGATGAAGAGATCCTTCCTCTCGATTACTTCATCCATGGTTGTCGTGAGACCATGCCCTACCTGCAAATAAGGTTCAATGTGTTTTGTTATTATAGTTAATAAGGAAAAAACGAATGTAACCTGTAAGATTCGAATGCCTCTTCGTAACCCCGTACTCTTAGTTGTATCAATGTGTTGATAACCAGCCTACAATTAAATTTACAATAAGAACAATAAAAACGATTGCATCGGCTTTGGAAGGTCCAGAATGCAGTAATTAATCTGGATCAATTTTATTTGTTTTGAAAAATTAAAATAACCTAAACTTAAGATCTGATTTTGGTCATGTAAGAATCGAGTTCAGATCAGGTACAGAAGAAAAAAGAATTAATAGGAAATAACAACGAATGATGATCGATGTGACCTCGAGAATAGCGGTGGCCACGGAATCGAAAGCTTGGGAACTAGATCTCCATGTCCCTAATCTGACGGCGGGAATTACGTGTCTACTCAACAATACGAATGATTGTACATATTCCTTTGCTCTTAATGTTGATTGCGCCATTGATTCTTCAATACTGAAAACCTCTAATTAAACCTTTCACTTCCGATTTCTTGCTTTATTCATATAGGGACTGAAGAACGAGTGGATGATGAACTAGCTTATTTGGTTTCAAACGGAGATCAAGAAAAGGGAATTTGATTTGGGATTAGAAGGCGATTTAACGGGGAAGAAGATAAGAAATTTACACTTTGGTCCCTAGAGTTTTAGAAATGTGACAGTTTGGTCATGTAATTTAAACCGTAGCCGGTAAGGGACCAATTACGAATAAAATTTTAACCCTAAGGGCTATTACTGTAATTTAGAATAATTGGTTACGGAGGATTGGTTAAAAACTAACGATAATGGCTTAATTGACATGTACAGTAAAATTTAGATAACCTATTGCACAAGAAAAAAAACATAAATGGTGAAATCGAACAAAACTCGTAATTTTATTGTGTTATAGTGACATATATATATATATATATATATATATATATATATATATATATATATATATATATATATATATATATATATATATATATATATATATATATATATATATATATATATGGCTTAGGTTATTTTGTTTTTACTAACTATTGTGTGCCAGAATGCACAGATCTGGACCAACGGATGAAATTAATCAATGGACATGGTTTGAGAGTGTATTATACAACAATGGGATAACATGTACCATATAATCACACAATTTTTAGCAAAAGGGTATTTTGGACAATTAACTACATTTATAAAAGGAATTTTTCGGATTTTTAGGGATATATAATTCTCCTAATTTAAAAAATCTGATTTTTTTTAACTAATTCAATTTTAATTTTAACTTAATTTGTAAACATAACCGATTTTATTCTGTCAGAATATTTTTTTGTTAGAAATATGTTCTTTCAGAATTTTATTATGTTAAAATATTATTGAAGAATAACAAAATTCTTGAATCCGAGGTTGAAAAATAACAATATTTTAATATATTCTTATACATCCGAACTTAAATACAAATTCATACATATTCTTACAAACTAAAAGCCTTATACATTTTACTATAATTATACATATTCTAAAAGAATATCAACAAAAATGAATAAAATTCTTAAAAAATAACAACATTCTTAAATTGTGAGTATGATCAAACTTTATTCATTCTTCAAGTTATTCCTATTAGGTCTTCAACGCATTCTTCCAGCCATTCCTATCACAAATACAACAAAAACTAATACTGGTTAAAAACATTTACTTGCAATTAACTATCACTTTATATATTCTAGTAGAATACATAGAATACATTATGGCCGAATACATAGATTTTATTTTGGCAGAATACATTCTGATAGAATACATATAATACATTCAAAAGTATCGTATTTACTGCTAATACAATTTTAGATTCCAAATATACAATAACGAAGGACAATAGAAATTGGAATTCAAAATCACAAATTGAACGAAAATAATACACAGACAAATTAATTACCTTTTTAAACAATTACATAAAACATGTGTTGCTAGTAATTCTGACAGAATGCATACCACAATGTTAAATTCGTTAAATTATCTTTCAAGCATTTCAACAAACACTTGTTAGGCATTATCATCAAACAAGCCAAAATTCATCTAAAACAATTAATGAAGTTAGAATAATAATGTGGGTGATAGGTGTGTATCAACAAAGACCATGATCCTTATAAATAGACAAAGAAATCATCAAAAAAAATGTTAAAAACCAATATGCGTATAATATATGCAATATAGTCATGTAATCCTAAAATTGCAATGAAAAAGATGGAGTCTTATATATAGGCATTTCATCAAACATTTAGAGGGCAGCATACATGTTATATGACAGAATACATATTGCATAAAATATATGTTACTAGTAATTCTGACAGAATACATGTTATATGACGGAATACATTCTCACAGAATATGGCATAATACATAGAATATGACAGAATACATAGAATACATTTTGACAAAATACATAGAATACATAGAATATGGCATAATACATAGAATATAACATAATCCATGTCTAAGATTACTAGAAACTATGTTTTAAATATAGAATTAGTCAATTTTTGAGAATTTGGCTTGAAACATCTCTTATGCATTTTATCAAACACCTTCTGTGCATTATCAAATTATCCTAGCTTGACCTTGAAATACAATGTCAAACACCTTCAACAAGTTGTATTAAACACCAAACACCTTCATAACACCGGAAATTGAACCAAACGCAGGAGAAAGATTCATGATATCATGGGATGTCAATAGAAATCGATTACATATGTTGAGATAATCAGAAATCAAATGCAGCTATACCAAACTTGAATTAAGAGAACATATATCCGATTCCACTAGTGAATTTTCAGAACTGGAAGATCTTAATTGGAAAGGACTTACCAGCTTGGTTCAAATAAAATGCAAAGAAATACATCCAAACAGATTGCAATCGTTGATTTTTCAGAAATGTTGTTCACAAAATCATTTATCCAAAACCAAATACATAAAATCGATTAAATAAAAAAAACGAGTTAAATAGAAGAAAAAGAAACTTACAGATTGATTGGAGAAGAAATTTATCCGTAGTCATGGGTCTGGAAATTTGATGATTGATAGTGGAGATGATGGCCGCCATGGTGGGTTTCTTCTCCTGGTATAATGAAGGAGTCGATGGTGAAGATTGAAGAAGCAATTTAAGGACGAATGGTGAGTGTTTTTTTAGGGTTAACAAACTAGTTTCCCTGGACATTAAATATTTTAAATATTTACCAAAATTAAATATAGTCAAGATTACTATTATACCCTTTTCTGATTTATTATTAAATTTATTTTTGCTTAATTTTGATTGGTTGTTAGAGGCACACAATACTTGTTGAAAACATTTGAACCTAACTTTTATATATATATATATATATATATATATATATATATATATATATATATATATATATATATATATATATATATATATATCCATGAGTGTAGTTGTGACATTGGGTCAATAAATTTAAAAATCATTAGAAAATATTAGGAATTTTATAAACATGTTATTTTAGACAATATGATGTAAATTTATAAATAGTTTTTATAAATAACCGGTTCTAATTAATACGAAAAATAACAAATTATTTAGATCATAGTAAACAAAACAACTTTTGTAGTTTTGTACAAATCAAATTTTGAAAAAGGAGAAAACATTATTTGCATTTATTTGGAAGGCGACTTAAAAGATATGAAAAGCAATCGTACCAGTTTCTACCACAAGAGCGAGCCACGTTGGGTTAAACCCACATGGTCTAAGGAATCAGAATTATTTCCAAATTCGTGGTTGTTGCCCACCCACGCCCCACCCCTATATGATTCCTTTCTCCTTTTTTCCTAGTAGTTTGTGCTCTATCCCTTCCCATTATTTAATTCATAAAAATAATTATAACTAAATATATCTATCTCATTTGTTTATTAACAATTATATAATATACCAGTTGATGAATCACCGGATCGAATTGAGGTACTGGATAGGTTCTTGGGCAGGGAAGTAGTGATCTTCTATTTTGTATCACTCGACATAAAGATAGGTAGTGTTATCTTTCTAAAAATATTTAAAATCAACATTGTTCATATCAAATCGAGCTCAAGCCTGTCGAACATCTTATCAAGCAGTGTTCGAGCATTAAAATAATCGGCTGGTGAAGCTTACTAAATTCAGTAGAGTTACATTTTTAAAATTTTATTTTATTCATAATTATATAATCTAGTCAGCTTGAAAGTGACGATTATTTTAATAAAGTCGAGCTCGAGCTTTAAAATTATGCATTGATCGAGCTCGAGTCAGGTTTGAGCTTTGAGTTAAGCTCGAGTTCCGTATTATATCAACTCAACACGACTTCTTTAATCCTCTGTTGACATTTATAAATGCCAATAACTTATTGTTTGATAACAACTTTTTGATTTTTGAGTGTTTTCTGGACATCTTAAATACATCATTATCATTCCTATTTTTGATCCTTTTTATGTTGGTGTTTTGTTAAGTTTAAATCCTCAATACTTACATTATTTTAGATCAATAATGAGTTATCTATCTTCCACATACTTTGTCTTGCTTTGGATATCTACTCAACATTCCGATTTAGTCTATAAAAATAATTGGTGGTTGTGGTTGTCAATGCAACTACTTGACCGAGGGCGGGGGTGGGGGCGGAGACGGAGCGAAGTGGTTTCCGGGGTGGGGCTACTACTCCGTTTCGTCTCATTAATGTAAAAAAAAATTGTTTTTTTTTTTTTTTTTTGCTTTTTTCTATGAAGATGAAATCAGCTATAACAATAAATACAACTGCTAGCTGGTGTCATTACTATTGAAGTTTATGTGTTGCCACTTAAAATAACTTTTGAAATATAGTAGTAACAAATCTATTAATATTTTTTTATAGTTGTTTAAACATATATATTTTTTTATAAAACCTTAAGACTTTTCATGTCATTTCGTAATTTTTATTTAAATTTAATAACTTTAACTTTTTTAAAAGTTAAAGAATTTTGTCATCCTCAGTTAATATTTGAAATATTTGATACATAATTAAATATGTAATACTTGAAATCCAACACATACAAACTAACACAATAACTTTTGCATCAACCTTAGTAGCATGGTGACATTTTTCTATTTTTTTATAAATAAAAATCAGGAGAGCAGTTATAAAGAATTGTTTATGATAATCAAAAAGTGTCTAAGAATATATATAATTGTGTTTTCATCAGGGTTTATAAGCAAGTTTCTCTGTGACTCTTTCGGTATGTAGTGGTTTTTTCTTTTCTTTCTATCTTGGATTCGTTGTTTGGTTTTTTATGATTATCTCAGTTTTTTGCTACTACATTTCTCAATCATTCAACTTTTTTATTGTTGTTGTTTCATTTAACACCTTCGTCTATGTAGCTTAGTTTCCTAAGTTAGGTTTTCAAGTGTTTTCATTTGTTTTAGTTTGTTATGTGTCCATTTTTCATCAACTTTATGTTGTTTTTAAGTTGCATAAAGAGTATAGTCTTCACTAGTGCATATTTTGGAGAGTGACCTACCCCACACAGATGGGAGAAGGAAATTATGACTTCATTCCAAGTTTAATTTTTAGATCTG